TCATCACTTTCATTCCAATCATTCTGTCTTCTAACTTAATTGTTTGATATGGTAATTCTTTTAATTCTGTTTGAACATCTGGACAATCGTATTGTCTTCCAATAAGTCTTTTAACATCTACAACTGTATTTTTTACATTTCTAAGATATAAACTAAAACCAGCTTCTCCAATAGCTCTTTCTTTATCGTTAAATGATACAAATGTTGGGGTTTGTCTATTAGAAACTTCATTAACAACAATATCAATTCCTTTCTTACGTACTACTGCAACAGTAATATTTCTATTTCCAATATCAATTCCAACTGCAATTGGCATATCAATCAATCTACTCTAGTTCCGTCTAAACCCTCTTTTATTGCTTCTTTATGTTATACGTCATTGCCACGTTCTCACATTGACACGTACATCTTTTCTTTTGAAGAATTGTGTTCATAAAATATAATAAATATATTATATTTTTATTATATTTATTTTGTTTATACAACTATTGATGATTAGTAAGTGCTATGGTAGATACATTCAAATGATTTTATCATTCTCTAATAGATATGAAATTGCACTGTTTGCATTACGTCAGATATTACAAACGCCATAAGTCTAGAACGTTGTTTTTTATAATAAACAAAAAGCAAAAGAAGAGTTGATAATGAATATAAAAAAGTCAAAGAGTTATTTTCTAGATATTCTTTTTTTGAAGTACCTAAAACTAGTTAGCAATGAATCATCAAAACAAAATAAATATACAAACACAATCATTAACACTAGAAGAAATCAAAGATTATTTTAAAAGATATCCAGATAGAAGGCAAATGGTTTTTGACATTGTTACTAAACAAATATTAGAACGCCAAAGTGATGAAGAAATAGAAACACATTTAGAGGAATTGAAAATAAATAAAATAGATGAAGAACAATATAAAATTTATTCTAATTTTATTAATGAAATTAATGAAGAATTAAAACACCAAAATTAATTTTAAATTAATGTGATAATTGAAGAAGTTGTCGTTTCTCAGTTCAATTTAAAGGAACTTTTTTATAATTTATTAAATGGGTTTATGTCAATTTATTTTCATACAAAATGAATATTTGATTATTATTAATTTGAAACACTCACAATAATTGTTCCGTTAGAAAAAAAGTTTATTGGTTCTATATCTCTTTCATTAATAATATATTTTTTTAATACGAAGTGCTCTATTTAATAAACGACAAAGATAATAACCATACTGTGCATATTCAGTTGCTCTTTTTTTCTTTTTGAATCAATGACCGTTGTATTACAATTGTATTAAAATATTAACACATTCAAGATGACTCATTTCTACTGCAAAGTGAAGTTTTAAGGAATTAGTCTTAAACACTGATACAAGATGGATATTTTTTAATAATTAATGGAATAATAAAAGAATTTCCACAACAACAAGAAATATGCAAAGGTATCCCTTTAAGATACTTGAGGAATATGAGTAATATCCTTTTAATAAATTAATCAATGGTATGTCTGAGTTATTAGCTAGGACAACATAATGAAATAGACTTTTTCATATTGGTCATTTGTTGTGTGTCAGTACTATATTTATTTATTAATTCCAAAGTCATAGAAGATCTTCCTGAAAAACTAGATGTTTGAAGTACATTCTGTTAATAAATATTAACTTATTTAACCATACCCTTTTCTTTTATTTTATTATATAACATTCTAAGAATATTACATTCTCCTCCAGAGTAATATAAAGAAACATACAATCCTTATAATTATCTACTTGATGAATCAAATTTATTCCTTGTTCTAATAAAACAAAAATAATGTCATAACGTTTATAATAACAAGTTAATTGTAACACATTTTCTCCTTCATTCCCTTTTTTCTAGTTAAACAATTTTTACCAAACATTTTTATTATTGTTAATAAACATTTCCTCCAAAACTACTCGCATATAATACAGGTGTCCACCTACTATAAACTCTTCTTTTTAATGCCTCATTAACCCCAAATACAATTAATTGTGTTAATTCAGAAAATCATAGTGAATGATATATAAATTAAACAGAGTTATC